TGTATCCTCAAGGAAACACTTGGCACTGTTGCCTTCCCTGGGCAGAGACTTGTAATGATTTTCTTGTCTGCCTCTTTGTCTGTGTCCTTTTTTTTTTTTTTTGGGAGGAGTTGACTGCATCTTCCCATCTTTTGGGCAAGAAGACTGGATGAAAAAAAGAAAAAAAATAATGCTTTGACTTTATTTGTATTTAAATTTTTATGAATATACTTCTACACTACATCCTATCTAAAATTGAAATAGAGATATAAGAAAGAACTAGCAATGTAAGAGATCCACAGTAATGTGTAAGTTATTTAGAGAGTTGGTGAGATATTTACACTCAAAGAAGCTTGCTAATGCAGATGATGCTAAAAGAGTGCTAATTCTTTTAGTTGTTTATAAAATGTATAGAGGTATGTGTGTTCCTTCTCACAGGGGTTAGTAACTAGGGGAGCAGGGCTGCTACAGATTCAGGTCCTACTTCAGTGGCAGGTCCGTCTTATCTCTTCAGGTCATATTCTCAGTCAGTAGCTACAGGATGACATTAAAAAAAAATAACAGAAAGAATATGCCAAGCAATGTGCCTAGTGTTGTGAACTCAAAGATGGGTAAGACGGAGCTCCTTCTAGCAACTCCTGATCTCACAGGGAAAATAAACATAAGCTCAGACCATCATGCGCAAGCACTGAGTGGATGACAGGGTGCTGCAGAGGCGTGGAAAAGGGAGCTGTGAAGTAATAGACCTATGTTTCTCCTAAAACAGTCGTTTTCCTCCTGTTCACTCCCCAACTAATTGTTTATTTTTAAAACTGTCTGACTTTGCTTAATGTCCATGCATTGGCTTTAAACATGATAGACAATGCGCATGAGCAGGTCTAGCCCATACCTTCAAGGAGTTTATACTCAGAGGAAATGGGCTGCAAAAAAAAAGCTATATAAGAAAAAAAGAAGTGGAGAGGGGCAATGAGAGCTCTAAGTTGGTTTTGGAGCTCAGAAGAGGGAAGAAAGACTTCAAATTGCATCAGGGAAAATGTTATTAGAGCAGTGCTGTTTGAACAGGACCTCAAAGAGCCCCTGTATGTCATCAGACAGACATCTTGGGAAGAATAAATTTGCAAAAAGAAGGTAGGAGAGAGGCAAAACACAGGAAACATGCTTTGAGTACCTGGAGAGTACAAGTAGGAAGAGTAGGAGATTAGGGCCAGGTCATCGAGGGCTTCGAAGGCCACGCCTAGGGTAACAGGCTAGGCTGCCCCGTTCCCACAGCAGTGCTCTTGGACAGACTCGAGCCTGCAGCAGAATCAGTCAGTTGGAGGGCTTGTTAAAGCACAGGTTGTGCCCCACAGTTGCTGGTTCAGTTGGTCCAGAGCAGAGCTGAGCGTTTCTTCAGTAAGTTCCCAAGTGAGAACCACTTCGGGAGAGTTAATCCGGTGACTGTACAGGATGGCTGAGAAAGGAAGAGACTACAGGTGCAAACACCAGTCAGAAGACAGTTACACCCACCCAGGAGAAAGGAGAGACTAAGAATCAGTGGAAGTAAGATAGCCAGCTATAGTCAAGTGTGGGTGTTTCAAGTAAAAGCCAGTATTTTAGTATAATACTCAATTAGTTCAAATTACACATTAATAAGAGGAGTAATCCCTTTCAAGTCGTGTGAAAGGCTATCTTTTATTTCTTCTGGTATTGAATTGGCATAGAAAATCAGAATTAAACTGGGAGGTGTGTAAATAGGAGAGTATTGCTTTTCATATTAAATATAATTATATATTGAGGTTAAAAACTTTGAGCTTATAATCTAGAATTTTTTGAGACCACAAAAGTTTATCTAATCAGTTCTGCTCTGAGGAAAGATTACCTCCAAAATCTACCCAGATCTATATAGGTGTATGTTTTATTTATGAACATCATGAAAGTGAGACTCTTAAGACAAGTGAGGGCAGGGTTAGGGGCTCTAGAAGGTTTAAATAACAATTCATAAGGTTTAGAGGTTATGTAGAACTGACTTATTCATTATTATTATTCTAACCTCTACTAGTTATTCCTGCTGATGAGATACCTAGTAGCTAATTGAGGCAATATTTTCCTTTTCCTTTTCCTAGAGATTTATCCTGCAATAAAATACAGCTTATTGAAAGTGGTGTATTTGAATCACTACCTTTTCTGGAGTTTCTATAAGTTACAAATATAACTTAATTGTGTTTGGGATTTGTATAAAACTTAATTTTTATAAAATTAATTTGATACTCACTTTGAAACAATTTTAGCACGGAAAGCTACTAGAATTATGTAGCTAATCCTTTTTGTCACTAGCAAAGATTTGTACTCAGATGACACTTGGCAATGTCTGGAGACACTTCTGGTTATCAGAACTATAGATATGCTGCTGCCATCTGGTGGACAGAGGCCAGAGATGCTGCTAAACCCCCTACAGGGTACTAGAACTATTGGGCCCAAAATGTCAGTGGTACTGCCCCTTGCTAGAGAAATAAGGATCACTTAACACAAATATTGAGAATTTACTGTTTTGTGTATATATATTGTGTATATAATCATGAAAATATAAATCATAAACAGCTATTTTCCACAGTGAGATTTCTTTAGTGTCTGGAAGGGATAATGAGGTTATGTTTCATAGTATATAAATCAGAATTACTGCCAAAGGATAATGTTCTGAAAGAATATTTCTTTCTATTTTTGCTTTTGTCTTCTTTTTTTTTTCTCCTTTTTTGTAGAAATCTTGGTTGCAACTTAATCATTGGTCCTGAGTTTTGGAATGTTCTGGGCCTGGCATGGAATGCAGTTTTTACACAACGTGTAAGTGAAATAGATGAATACATGTAAAAAATTATGTGTTTTGGTTATTCGTAATTGTTTAGCTGGGTGTAAGCTCATTATGAATTCCAGAAATTATGTCTTGAGATCCATTCTTTTTTTTGTTTTTTTTTTTAATGAGAAAACTAAGGTACAAAGAGGCCAAGAGACTTGCCTAACTCACATGATGGAACACTTTGCTTTCCCTAGTACTGATCTTTGGCACAAGCAATAAAATAAAAGGCACCCGACAGAAACACTCAAATTAGCATTGTCATGAAATCCCATTGTTGCTGCTCCAAAATGCGAATGGTACTTGAAATTCCACTTTTGAGTTTAATTCCTGCTCACGTGCAAAATTCCTAACTGCTTAAAATGTATGCAGCACAGAGCTGTAAAGAACTAAGTTTAGCCTAAAATTCTTCAGGGAGCAAAAGATATGGGTGCTTCCTCAGGTGTTAGCTTCTTTGAAATGGTAAAGCAGAAAGAATTCCTGAACACCCACCACTGGGCACCTCTCTTCCCAACCACCCAAAACATTATTTTTCAAAAAGTATATATGTCTGTAGTGAATTATCTGTGGCCAGTAGGAACCTTTGAGGTGTGGATGTTTGTGTTACGCTGTACTGTGAAAAATATAAAGGAGATTCATTGCTATCGCCTAATTCTGTGTACTTTTATTCCTGACTACTACTACTAAGTGTGGACTTTTCAGAATCTTGAAAATTCTGTGACCTCTCCATGTCACAAGCAGATCACAGCGGGTAGGTTCAGTGGCCTGAAGGGGATTTTAGACTCAAGGTGAAGAGCCTCCTCTAAATCAGGCTTTGGAAAAGACTCTCCTATTTGGTGGTTCAGAAATCCAGTTTCACACAGTTCACTTTGGGTTAATGAAGGTGTTGAGGGTGTGTTGAGCTGGATTAGCAGTTCTGCACATGCCCACCAGTGGCATCTCCCTCCCCTCTTCATTAGTTTGCTGGTGCCTAACTTGCGGAAAGAGAACAGAGGGTCAGTTTTTCTCCTGCCAGCACACCAGAGAGGGGGCTCGTTAGGTCCCTCCGCCAGGAAGTTTTAGTAGCATCAGTACCATGTCTTAAACTCGTGACCTTTTGTAAACATTTTATAACACCGAGAATCTCTTATAAGAATCTGAGTTTCATTATAGTTATGTAGGCAACCCAGGGGGAAAATTGTGGAATCACAGTTGATAAAAATTAATGAATTTATTCCAAAACATTCACTGAGTGCCATGGGCACTGTGTGTCTGCCCTGCCCTACGTGCTGGGGTTACAAAGAAGAATAGGCCAAAGACTTTGTCCCCAAGAACCTTTCATACTGGAAGAAAATTGATGGGAAAACTTACGAGAGCCATGCTAGCATCTCTGCAGGAGGGTAACAAGCTAGAGGGGCAAGGAAGTAGAAAATGGGTGGTGGGTTAGAAAAGATGGTCGTGGAAGAGGCACGAGCCTGTTCCTCTTGTATTTCTGTGTTCATCTTAAATGGCAGAAAAAGTTAATGAAAGAATCAGAGGTGGTGTTGGAAATAAATTAATACTGTACTCCTAAAATTCATTCACAGTTACTTTCAAAAGGTGGTCAGAATACAGTAGGTGTGT